CATTTTTTTGGTTTTCATATGTGACCTCTTCTCAACGGAATTGAAATCAAATTCAGAGACACTTTCCTAATGATAGATATATGTGTCCAGTACTCCCTGGTTTTCAATGGTTCTCTAACTGATATCAATCCGTGATCAACTCGTAAAAGATATATGTGTATTATTCATAGCTGGTAGAATACACATTATGTGAATAGTTCTCCACTGAACTGTAATCAGACTTAAGGAGAAGGACAGACAACATGAGATCATAATTAAGAACAACGTATTCAGCGAAGAGACCCTTTTCAACAACGAATTTATTATCTTGCAGTACAATCGTACATATAAATGAATTTTAAGAAATTATATCCAGTGACAGAATTGAATCAAAGGTGTGAATATATGAAATATTAATAATAGTAGTATGAAATGCAATTAAAATATTTGTGATTATAATCATAGTTAAATGTCAAGTAGCTATACAATCAATGTCATATTTAACTGAATTTTAGATTTTCCCGTCGATTGATTGATTGTACCGAAGTGTTCAGTCTCAGGTTGACATATCGGCTTCTTGAGCAGATGCTTCGACGATGTCTGGGTATGTAATTACAATTTGATTGGTGGATGGTGACTAGTAGTGGAATCCAGGATGCACATTTCCTCCTAGCTAGACATTTTTAAATATTATATTTGTAAAATCTCAGCGAAATTCAAATGATTAATTCCAACATTTCGTTTGTCAATCTGGTCCGAACATCTTCAGGGAAATTAATCGAAATTAACATAACAGAGGTTTATATATAAAAGGATATCTCTGGTTTTTAAAAACTCTGTCCAGTCATATGAGTCATAAAACAGGTATCAACATGCATAATAAAATATAAAGTAGTCAGAACACCGAGGCCCATTCGCCAACTCGCCAATAAATAAAATGACGTACATATCAAGCTGCCTTATATGGATGATCACAGCAGCGTGATAGTTCGACAGAGATTGAATGTTGAGGTTAAAAAGACTTTATATGCAACTGAAAGTTCATAACAATTGAGAATGTGAAGCTGATATATCCATCTAAGCCCTAAGAACATGCGAAAAATGATGTCATATCCCACTGTATTTGACAGCTTGAATGTACTTCTGGCCACACATGCATAGGGAGGACTCACAGATGTTTGCAAGTAAGGGCTGGCTTCTGAGCATATTCCTTAATTGCTTCAGAAACTTACTGAATCTGCAGAACGCATTAATGATGAGAACAGATGACCTAGCTGCTCCATTGAGAAACACATTATTGCTAGAGGACATAAAATTGATGTTTAGACGTCTTTTGAACCTATCTACAAAATGTGTTTGGGGAGTATTCTAAGGCTTATGGAGGTCCTGGCAGTTAGGAAGTTTAAAAAAAATTCGTCATCACACTAAACCACCTTCATTAGTAAGCTTTGTTTTGATACCAGCCAGGATAGTTGTGCTCTCACCTTTCTTCTTTGGTTTAGTGATCTTCATTGTTATTTTGACCTTCAATATGTTCTTTTAACTTGACTTAAGTCTATTTTCTCTCCCTTTTTTATTAGTTCTCTAAATATCCCTATTATTAATGTAAGATCAATTCTATTCCCATCCTTGAATCAAGTCAACCTGTTCTGGATCAGCCTAGCGTTTTTGCAACCCAATTATCCATGCCTAACGTGTCTATCCCTGGTTGTTTAATGAACTGTGTGTATGTGTTTTTACCTCGATCCGTTTAGTCAGACAGTTGAACTCATGGCCCAATCAGAGTATTTTGTGAACTGTTATTTTTGCTGACCCATGTCTAACTTTGTACTATTCTGTCGAGTTTATCTTATTTATTGATTTTCATCTGTATTTTCCTACCTGGTTAAGTAGCCAATTAAATTATATCTTTGTGCCTATGCTCGGTCTATCTCTCTTAAACGCTCTCTGTTTTATGCCATGGCTTACTTGGGTTCATTCTTCTACTGGCTGCTTACCTGAACGGTCGTGTCTGGTTCCGGCTAGTTCGCAATTTTGGCTTTAACGGTATTCCGCTCTGATAGCGGTACCTTGCTTTCTGTTAAGCGTTGTGCTTTGTACTCTTGAAACCGTTAAGGTTTGTTGTATATATAATTATTGATTTGTTTATTAATAGTACCGCAGAAACAGTGACCGGCTTCTTGTTTGTTCTGAACCGGGATAGCCTTTATCTACGCGTGACTTAATTTCAAGCGATATTGCGCTTACAATTAATATTAGACCAAGAAATAAGCGAACAATATTGTTCAGATGACTCGCTAGATAACGAATTGGGAAACATCCAAAATACACTGGTCCAAATGGATTATACTAGTACACTCGTAAGGAGACACGTGAACACCATTTATAATAAAGGGGAACTGACAACAGTTAGTGAGAAACAACTGTTCCTGAAGCTGCAACTCAATCAGTCCTACATCTAAGATTATCGAGAGCAATAAAACGGAGTTATACTGCCACCACCCTTTGTTGATCATTTTCCAGTCGACCACGTATGAATGCTCAAGTGAAAAACAAGATGCCTAGCTGTACCACTTCTATGTGTATCTACAAATTTAGATACTCTTGTGGAGAAACCTATATAGAGCGAACAACTAGACAGCTCAACAAACGTAGTAATGAGCATCTTCCTTCATGGTTCGGAAAAGGTCAAATACAATCGACAAGAAGCTCTATTTTGACTCATTTGATTGATAGCGGTCACCAGGTGGACAGAAGTAGTGCCTTCAAAGTTATCCATCGTATTCCATTGAACCTATCGAACGGAATTCGAATCTGCCTTTTACACATAACCGAAGCTGTGGGAATTAATTTGAGGAAACAATGCTAGTCTCTGCGAACAAAACAATTTTGTTCTACTTCTGTCTCTCACTTGGCCTACGTAAGTTCTAATTAAAACCCTCCCACCCATTCTCATTTTCCCTCTCCTTCGTGTTTCAAAGATATTTATTTAAACTCTGATTATTGTCCACTTCACCTTTAGTATTACGTAACCTTAAGGATTTGACCTAATTTATTTATTGAATTGTCTACATGTACACAAATTACCACCTTCATTCTTCTTATCGCCATCTGCATGAACCTGATTATCATTATAATTGCTATCATTATGATCATTGTTATTGTTGATGTTCGAAACATTTGACACATTATTATTATTTGATCCACAATCTCACCGTCATTGGTTAAAAATGATGAGTTATACACTTTGAGGAAAATCCTAATGGAAAATGGATTTCCACCACGTTTTATAGATAAGAATATACATTCAAAGCCTAGAAAACGTGACTTATCAACCGTTCCCAAGAAAATACTTTACATGAGCTTAGAATTCAAAGGGGACTTAGCCTCCGATATCATGAAACGAAGGATATCACAGTCCCTGGAAAGAACATTCCCTGCTGCATCTCTGAGTATAGCCTTTACTAGCCGACCATTATTGTTCAATAACCTGAAGGACAAGATCCCGCTGTTGACCAGCTCTGTGTGCGTTTATCAATTCACCTGCTCTTGTGGAGCCAGGTATATCGGTCGTTCGACTCGAGTTTTGTCCAAGAGGGTGCCAGAACACTATCCTGCATAGCTACGAAAAGGTGGAAGTGGAGCAATGAGAAGCGCGATCATTGAACATCTGGTCGATAATGATCACCCTATCTCTATAGCCTCCGCCTTTAAAGTCATCTACAAGGCAAAGAGTAATCTACCCAAATCCCTACGTATCCGATTCATCTGTATTGCTGAAGCTTTGGCTATCGAAACAGAAAAGCCAGATCTCTGTGTACAGAAAAAGTTCGATCAACCCCTCTAACTTTCATGGTCTTAATCCCTCTATGCTAAAATATGGTAATCCCCAATCATATTTTAGCTCTACCAATTTTTCATTTTTTCATTTGGTCTATTCAGTTTGTATACTCTTCCTTATTAAGTCAATTGTTATTAATACTATTCTCACTTTGAACTGTCTCTGGTATTATTTCACTTATTCCACTTGTCATTCTAAATCAATTCTTTTTCACAACGATAAATTCTATACTATTAAATTTCACACAATATTACGTAACGTTTTTGTTTTATTCGATTTGTCTACTAATTCTATAATTGCACATCCTTTTTCAAGTTCTATCCCTCCTATGAATTATTCTATATATGACATTAATTTGCTTTGCCACTTGACATTTAACTACGATTATAATCACAAACAATTTAGTTTTAATTGAACTTCATATGATTATTATGATTATTTTATGCATTCACACCTAAGATTCAATTCCCTCACCTGATATAACTTCTTAAAAACCATATATATACGACTGTACAGCTTGATGATAAATTCGTTGAAAAGAGTCTCTTCGCTGAATCACTTGTTTTGATTTTCTATATATATTTCAGTCAAGAACAAAATATTACGGCTATCTTATCAATAGTGGCGCTTCGAAACGCCATCTTACATGCATAACAAGTAATCAAAGAAGGCAATATCTGCATGTTGAAATACACTAACGCTTATAGAAGTATGCCTACTTCGCTCATCTCAATCACAATTTCTCCCAAACCATATGGAATTTCTCGTCATGATAATGAATACACACAAACACAAGAAGACACTAAACCCTTCTTAATGACAGTCATTCTCACACAAATACACAAATCCACTTGAAAGATAAGAGAAACGCATATTGTGTAAGTCAGTATATAAGAAATCAAGGTAGAAATATTACAGAGATTACAGTTGTAAGGCGTTACACTTGAAGGTGATTTTCCCTTCTACAACCAGCTGAAATTGTTTATTTTCAACTCAGGTCTGAATTTATATGCAGGCGCATTAAATGAATTTTCTTGCTTGACACTCGATAGTTTCTGTTGTCCATCCCCACTTCGGCCATCATTACGCCACATGAGGATGTTGGATGAGGAACCGTTCCAGTGATTTGTGTATAGATTTACCAAATCGCCATAGTTCAGTCCCGCTCTCAAATCTGGTATCAGCACCTCGAATTTGACTTTCGAGAATCCTCTGAATGGTGCACATTATCGAGAGATTTAACCAGTTGTGATGCATCACCCAGTTTCTCATGACGAGTCTGCATTAATTCATACGCCAGACGACACATCTGAAACACAAAGTGAGTTATTATAACGTATCAGATGAGCAAAATCCGTTTTCATGTGATTCAACAAACACACAAAAACTAATAAAGCCACTTGGAAGTAATTTGTGTTAACTGAAACCAATGTTGGCAGATACTGCTACGATTACTCCTTTTGACCACTTTTTGGTTTTCATTGCTATTATGAATTTCAAACAATGAACAGTGATAACAACTGTTACAGAACCATTGTACATCACACCGAACTGAATACTCAACATCTCCCTAGTATGGAGATATCTGACAGAATTCATTCCGAGGCTTATGTGAAATACAGGTCAACATCACCAGTTGACGTGTCAAGTGCGATATTATCCAACAAGTGGATCAGGAGCGAGCTAACATAGTCTGAGATTTCTTCCACCTTAATGCTGTGAAAAACATCCCTTCCATACTGATTACACAGGATAAATAGAGTGAAATATAACAAGGATACTCACATTCGATAACCTCGCCTAGATTACTAGCTCGCCTTTTTTCTAGCCGGTCCCAAGCCCGTATAAAGAGGGAAGGTTCGGGCGTGGTGCTAACAACTCCACCCCCAAAACGTAGCCAAACTACTAGAGAAACTTCAACGCACAACTACATCAAAAATTCTAAAAATATAAACAAAACCTTATTTTTCACTGCAACTGGGAAGTGAAATGTCGCAGGCTGGTGAAAGCCTTCGGGAAACCAGTCAGCCGATGTGCATTCTTTCAATGAAAGCAAAAGTTAGGATGGGTACCTGGAATGTCCGTACAATTTACGAAACTGGAAAGGCTGCCCAGATAGCCGCAAAAATGAGAATATATGCAATAGAAGTTTTGGGAATCTGCGACAGCAGATGCAATGGATGTGCTAGGTACCGACTACCAACTGGGGATACAGTAATTTATTCCGGCCACCCAGAGGATAATCACGAGCACATCGAGGAAGTGGCCATCATGATGTCACCAACAGCAACCAAAGCGCTCATGCATTGGGAACCGATCTCCTCCAGGATAATGACAGCCAGGTTGAACTCAAAAGGAAGGAAGGCTACAATCACTCAATGCTATACGCATACAAACGTCTCAGAACAAGAGAAGAAATAGGATTTCTGCAGACAACTACAAGCAATAATGGACAACCTCCCAAATGGCGATATCAAAATCCTGATGGGCGACATGAATGAGAAGCTGGGAGGAGACAATACAGGAAGAGAACTCACCATGGGTCGTGAGGCCCTCGGCGAAATGAACGACAATGGTGAACTCTTCTCAGACTTCTGCGCCTTCAATGATTTGGTGATTGGTGGCTGTGTGTTCAAACACAAGGATATACACAAGACGACATGGATTTCACCATATGGAAACACTAAAAACCAAATAGACTTCATCTCAATTTCAAAAATGTGGAGATGGAGCCTACTAGACAGAAAGTCGAGTAGAGGAGGGGATGTAGTTTCAGACCACTATCTGGTACAAACGCTTTCAAGGGGAAGCTAAAAGCCTCGAGGATAGCTTGGGATAGGCCACAGTGCAAGTTCAACACTCAATTACTGAAGGACACAACCACAAAAGACACTTTCACTGCAACTGTCAGAGCAAAGCAGGAAACACTACGTGACATCACGGAAGAATCATGTGTGGAAGGCCACTGGAACTCTCTGAAGGCGATTCTCAACAAAACGTGTTCAACGGTTTTAGGAAGAGAGAAGAGACGAGACAAGGAATGGCTCCTAATGGACACTTGGAGACAAATAGAAGAGAGGAGAATGGTGAAAGAGAAAATGATTCAATGCAAGGACGGACAGGAGAAGGAGACGCTGAGCTCAACGTACACAGCACTGGACAAAGAAGTGAAGAAGAGTGCTAGGAAGGACAAAAGACGATTCTACGACAACGTCGCCACTGAAGCTGAGAAGTCAGCAGGCAAAAAGGACCTAGGAAAATAATATGAGATAACCAATTCTCTATCCGGGAAGAGATCAACACAAGTGAAACCTACAAAAGACAGCCAAGGGAACCCAATTACTAAGGAAGAAAAACAGATCAAACAATGGGCGGATCACTTCAAAGGACCCTTGACCCGACCACTACCTGCAAACCGTCCAGAAATACCAAGAACAGCGTGCACACAACTGCAAGTTGAGATCAATCCTCCAACGAGAGCTGAAGTCTTGAATACAATCAAGCTTCTGAAAGCTGGAAAAGCAGCTAAACCAGATGGAATACCCCCTGAAGCACTGAAAGCTGACCCAGAGACGATAGCAGACATGCTGACTCCATTATTGCAATAGGTCTGGAAGGAGGGAAAGGTGCCTACCGACTTGAGGAAATGTTACCTCGTGAAACTACCAAGGAAGGGTGACTCAGGCCTCTGCAAAAACTGGTGAGGAATCATGGTTCTATCGACGTCAAGTAAAATCCTGAGTCGCATCATCCTGGAGAGATTAAAGGACGCACTGGAGACAGAACTCCGACCAGAACAAGCTGGATTCAGGAAAGAAAAGCAAATCATGTACTGACCAAATCGCAACTCTACGCATCATCATCGAACAAAGCATGGAATGGCGATCAAACCTCTACCTCAACTTTATAGACATTGAGAAGGCCTTCGACAGCGTTGATCGTGAAGTAATTTGGAAATTACTCGAGTACTGTGGTGTACCCCAAATATTCATCAACCTTATTCAACAGCTGTACGACAACGGCACATGTCAAGTGATCCACAACGGAAAACTCAGCTAGGCGTTTGGAGTAAACACAGGAGTCAGACAAGGGTGCTTACTATCACCAATGATATTCCTAATTGTGGTGGACTGGATTATGCGTCAGACAGTGGGAAACGAGAAGACAGGAATATCCTGGACCGACGTGAAGAACCTAGAAGACCTGGATTTCGCGGGTGGATGATTTATGTTTGATGTCACACAAAATCGAAGACTTACAAGCGAAGACCGACAAACTGGCCGAAGAAGCAGCCGGCGAAGACAGGACTCCAGGTGAACATAGACAAGACGGAGGTCATGGAAATAACCAACCAACCTACAACAACAACAGCAACATCCAGTGCCAATCACCACCAACGGGAGGGATTTGAAAGAGGTCACTTCATTCACTTATCTAGGGAGCATTGTCTCAACTACATGCAGTCGGAACGGACGAGGATGTCAAATCGAGCGAGAATCGGGAAGGCGAGAAACACATTCATCAACCTGAAACCAATATGGAAATCTTCGTCACTCAGCCAGAATCAACCACAAAATTTGGTCGGATTTTCAATACAAACGTCAAGTCAGTCAGTTCTTCTATACGGATCAGAAACTTGGCGGGCGGGTCACAAAGAATATTTCCAACAGCCTGTTGCAGACCTTTATCAACAACAACTGTCTTCACTCTATACTGAAGATCAGATGGTAGGGCCGGAAAGAATCACCAACAAGGAACTACGGGAACAAACGAAACAAGAACCAATCGCCTAACAAATATTCAGGAGAAAGTGAAGATGGATTGGGCGCTCGCTGAGGAGACAGCTGGGTGACATCGCGCGTCAAGCCCTTGAGTGGAACCCGAAAGGGAAGCGGCGTGTGGGACGTCGAAGGATGACATGGAGGAGATCGTGTGAAGAGTTGAGGAGTTGAAATAGTATGGACTAACATGGACGCAGGTGAAAAGTACAGCAGAAGACAGAAGCAAGTGGAGATGTGCAGTTGAAGCCCTATGTTCCACTAGGAACCCAAGGAAACAATAATTATAATACTCACATTCGATGAAAATGTGCACACCAGAAAATCTGTTTCTGATAAAGCCAATGTGTCAGTAAATGCATTACTCATTGAATCAATGCTTATGCGATTTTCTATACCAGCTGACATCGACCTTCTTTGACTGCCATATAGAATTTAATTTGGATGATTTGTGGTGAACTGGTCGAAGAGAGAAGGTTCATATGTCGTCAAATAAACACTTCTGTTTCTGTGTGTGAAACGTTCAATATCCTTTGTGTGATTATTCAAATTGTAGCCATTCGAATTCTGAAAGAAAAGTGTTGGAAGAAATGCGCGTATCTTTGTAAATCTTTGTAAACTACGCTTGTTAGCAAGAGTGCAGTCTAGTGTAAAACGTAGTGCACAATTACCATTACACAGGATTGACACACATGAAAGTTGAATTAGTTCCAATCATAGCATAATATGGGGGATTACTTCTATCAACTGAAATTGCATCGTCATGCGAAAACTTTGACACGTTTATACGTGACTGTGCATGACTCACTATCTCACCTCTTACACTTGATTTTCGATATTTCGTGATGGCCACAAACCTAGAATGATAATCCTACTATAAGTTCACACGAAACTACTTTCAATGAAATTTACCAAATGGCGGATTTCATGTGAAGGCAGATATTCGTCGATGACATCGGCTTGAGGTAGCGTAGCGGTGATGTTCAACATGTTAGCTGTGTTACGTGAAGTTCTTGGGTACAATGATTGGTTCGGTCAAGGGTGCATGCCGGTGGAGTGTGGAGCTGGGACATTAATCTCTGATCTCGACTGAAGTTCTTCAAACCTCCAGAAGCGACTAGTAAGATATTTGCAATGAAAGTACAAGCACAATTAAAGATATTGGTCAAAGATGAACGCTGTTTCCGTAGCCTCACTCCAAAGCTGCACAGTTATATGGTATTGTTGGATGTCAGGGAGATGCGTGTCAATTCACTCGTTCATATCACCTGGTCACAAAACATATGAGAATATATTTCGAGAATATTAATGGACCACGTCACCTAAAGTTGATATGTGAGCAGTATCATTCAGAAATAATTATCACTGAAACCACATTTCGTTTACACCGGATTACTTTTATTGAAATTAAACAAATTTGTCATACAATAAGTGGTCTGCCGATTTTCTATGATTGCTCTGAACAATCTTTTCCTCTGTCTCGTTTTAGCATTCATTGCTAATACCCTCAATATCAACACTTTGCGTACAACATTATTTCGAGTATTCCGCACAATGAACATTGTGCAATGACATAGTTAACACAGTTGTACAATCTTCTGATTGGTGTTTCAGATGTGTTGTGATGTAACTTTGTGTCTCATTATGACTTTCCTCCTCTCATACTTGTATACTCCTTATGTCTCCTTAGTGAAAATCATTAAGTATGGTTTATTGTGATGGTGAGCTGTTTGTCTACACATGAAGGCAGCTTACATCTGTTTGTGCCTAAAGCATCAGCAAAATCCTAAATGTGCAAGCTACAGCATGCTACGTAAACTGATTTGAATAGTATGCAGGAGTGTTTGCTGTCTTTATTCCTAGTGAAGTATTGGTTTTCATTTTAGGGAGCTGGGAAATCTGTTATCACTAATGATGGAGTACTAAAAATTTGTTCTCATTGTTGCACACGTAAAATGCAACCAATAATCTCAGGACTTCTTCAAAATATGAAAATCGAGTAATCCATGATGAGTTGAAACACTGATTCAAGCTACTCCTGTAGAAAGTGTCCTTGCGACCGGTACTATTCATTCATTACTGTCTGGTATAGAAATAATTCTGGTAAATAGGAAATGTTGGGCATGAGGCTAGCAGCCGCATCCTGTAAAATTAAAGCCTACTACAGAAACTTCAAGCGACTAGCTTGATGCCCTATGTTCCACTGGGAACGGGATGGAAATAAAAAAATAACTGTCTGGTACAAAATACAACTTACATATATTTCGGGCTTCAAAAGAGGTGTAGTATTCTCGAATGAATTGAAATAATCGTCCACATGCTTCATGTACTCTTCCAAATCATGTGATTGAGCTTCCCAAATTAGCTGGAAATGTAAATTAAGTAATTTAGCTTAGTTATTTACGAAAACAAAATGCAAGCATTATTAACCATCAAAAGCCTTCCTGATTGTTCATTTCTTTCTCTCTTTCAGTCTAACCGGTTAAAACATTGGTGGGTATCCCTGAGCCAAAGTTGCTAGATTTTCGCTTGTTTCTCTCCAATACAATCAGATGAATAATGTTTTGAAGTGAACAGCAACATTCAGATATCGCTGCAGGCCTTATGTATTATATCAGAAAGACACATGATTTTGCCAAGTGAACAATTCTACCAACATGTCCTGCTACAAGTCTTCTCTTCATCACCTTTCCGTTCCTAACTTTCTAAATTATGCTTATTATTCTTCATCGTTGTGTAAAAGATACACAACTTATGACCTCCCCATCAATGCCTTCTGCTCACTCACTCAATTTCATTTCTACGCTGAAATTCGTCACATATCATATGATAGTTTCTAGTTTCGATTAGAAAAAATGCACGGGGAATTCGATTGACCTCCTGTGTCATGTGTTGGTTAGTTAGTTGAATGACTTCCATGAATATATATTTGTTTCTGTTATTTTCTTTATTCGCTTGTGTTCCAGTTGGGACATAGGGCTTCAACAGCACATTTCCACTGCATTCTATTCCCCTTAGTATTCTGAATTCAGCTCAGAGATCACCCACAGACTCTCATCTCCTTCTCACACAATCTCCTATATGTCCCAACTTGTCGTTCCCTACTCGCTGCTCACTCAGTGAGCTGAGGCGAGATGTCACTCATCGCTGTCTTCAGTGCGTGTACAATCCATCTTCATTTCCTTCTGCATATTTCTTGATCAGTAAGAAGGTTAGTGGTTGGGTCGTCCACAGAGTTTCTTGTTGCTAGTTCCTTCTGGCCATTTGATTTCCTGCATGAAACTAAGACAGCTGTTCATTTCACTCTTTAGCCTGTTCGAAACTATTCTGGTTACGCTCCAAGGCTCTGAAGCATATGGAAGAAACCACTTGGTATCAGTGTTGGAAATTTGAATCCGTTACTTTGTGCTTCGTGGGGTAGATTTGCACACTGATTGCAGACTAATGAAGGTTTGTCTCGCCTTTCTGATACCGGGTGTCTTTGACGTTCTCATCCGTTCTGCCTGTAGTAGAGACGATACTGCCTAGATAAATGACCCACTTCTAATTTCCCCTGTTCATAGTAGTTAGTGCTTGTAGTTGTTCGTGATGGGCTGTGTCTTCATCACCTCCTCCTTCTTCATGTTCACTTAGAGTCTAGTATTCTCTGAATCCTCTGTCAATTGGTAAGATTTTGCCTGATAGTCTTTGAGTTTATATGAGAATAAACATGTTATCCGCAAAGTCTAAATGCCCTAGTCTTCTTGTCGGCCCACCTAATTCCTGACTTCTGTCTACAGTCTGTTGCATGATCCGGTGCACCACAACCGGGAATATTACCGATGACAGTAGGTGACCATATCTTGCTCTGTCCAATGTCCTCCTTGAGCTTTCCGCTGTGAACCACCTGATAAGTGGCATCGTAATGCTGGTGTTGAATAGAAATGATGAAGGTTCGGGGCACTCTGTATTTTTGTAGCACTTTAAAAAATACTTTGTGGTCAACTCCGTCGAAAGCATTCTCAAAGTCAGTGAACGTGGTGTAGAGAGTAGACTATCATTCTATGGTCTGTTTGGCCACGATGCGTAGTGTTGCGATTTGTTCAGCAGAGGATTTGTTTTGTTTGAATCCATGTTGCTGACGGCAGAATTTCGCATCCACAATGTCATTTAGTCTCTTTAGCACGAGACAAGCTAATATTTTGCTTGATGCAGATAGAAGCATGTTTCCACACTACTATTTGCAAAGTCTAAATTTGCAGTTTTCTGGTAGTTTGATGACGTAGTCTTTCTTCCAGTCAGTAGGTAGACTTCTTTCCTCCCACACTTTCTGTAGTAGTTGTGTGAAGATATCCGCTGAGATGTTGAGATCTGCTTACAGTGCTTCTTCAGGAAATCTATTTGACTGAACCTGCTGCCTTCCTTGTTTTCATCGACGTAATGGTATTGATGACTTCTACTTTTGTCGACTAGATGGTGTCCACTGACAGTCCTGTGACTGTTAGTGATATTGTTGGATAAAATGTAGGTGGTGTTCGGTTGAGGAGTTGCTTGAACTGAACAGTCTATTGATTCCATTCTTCTCCTCTTTTGCGATTAACTTCGCTTCCTCACCTTTAATCGGTTTCATCTGGGTTGATCTCTTCTCGCATAACAACCTGGTTATCAGTTTAATGTTCCGTTTGTTTGTCTCGTTTGCCTAAAGCCTGCCTGTTCTGCCTCAGGTGCAAGCCAGTGTGTCGTAGAATTGTCTTTTGCCTTCCCCACCACTCTGCTTCACCGCTTTATTCAGTAAGATGTACACTGAACTCAGCCTCTCCTTCTCTTGTCCTCCTTTGCATTAATTCATTACCTCTTTCATCATCCTCCACTCCTCTTTTCTTTCAGCTTCCAGATGTCCATTGAGAGACATTCCTATTCTTGCTTCTTTCTTCCTGCAATGACTTGATTGTACGTGTTTTCTTGAACATCAACTTCAGAGAGGTGACTCAAATGTCCTTCCACTCAGCTTGCCTCAGTGATACCATTCAGTGTCTCCGACTTTGCTATGATCTGATCTGTAGTGAAGATATCGCTTGCAGTATCACCTTTCAGATTCCGAGTGTCGAACTTGGATTATGGTCTGACACCAGTCGCTACAAAGCTTTTCTACTTGACCTTGAGTGTTTTTTGGACTAAACAATAGTCTGTGTCCACATCTGCTTCACTTCGCGACTTTGTCTCCAGCAGGCTGCGTCTCCTCTATCTTGAGCAGTATTGAGATGAAGTCTATCTGAATTTTGGAGTGTCAATCAGGTGAGATCTGCGTCGCCTTTTGTGCACCACTGTGCTGGTACGTGCCGCCCTCAATCATCGAAGCAGTGAAGTCGCAGAAGTCTGCGAGGAGTTCTACGATTTCAATCATGTCGTTGAGAGTTTTCCGACCCATGATGACTTCTATTCCTACGTCGTTTACTCTCAGTTTGGAATTTCAGCGGTGTGATGCAACATTATTGTTGACATTTAGCGTTCAGCCAGTCCGTTTAATTACATAACCACGTTACACTCAAATGTAGTTGATAATTTACTAGAACACTCACCTTGTCTGTGCGTCTTATGTGCACACCAACCACTGGATGATCACTCCGCCTAAATCCACTCAAACTTTGGTTGATTAGCTGAGAAAGATGCAAGTTCGGACGCAAAACGTATGCGGTCAACTGACCAGCAAACCATGCATACGGTGCTTCATGCAAATAAGTTAATTTTTCAGCTAAATCTCTAGGTAACACGTTTGGAACCCAGTCGTTGTCTGAAGGAATATATGCTTTCAGAGGACATTCGATAATATCTGAAGAAGATTGAAGAGAATGGGTTTGATTGGGTGAGTTCATAATGCATAAAATAAATTTTAGGCTTGGTGTCTATATTCATATCACAATTTTCCCCCTTGTATGCCAGTGTCATGTTATCTATCACCACATTCACACTAAGATTAGGCAAATCCACAAGGTCCTAGAAATCTGTCCACTCACGTGTCACAATTTCTCCACTGATTTATTTGAAACCTTATGCCTCTAGCCATAACTCGTCAAGCTGTTGACTGGCGTACATTGCTTTTCCATCTGAATTGCATTATTTACACGACTTGTGGTCTCAAGACAATCCGTCACTTATTTTCACATCCGGTGACTTTGTCCTATGAAACTGTGGTATTAGGATTAGAATGCAGCTAGCCATGGGGTGACCAAAGACAACTGACTAGGGTGAGTGAGCACTCAGGTATTCAAGTGAGTAGAGTTTAACTCACAGTTCGCAAGCCACACAGTTCTACTTGAACCTCTACCACAGTCTCCTTGGGAAACCAAAATCACTCAGATTACAATGCCACCTGCTTCATACCATAGTTGATGATGAGTGATTCAATCTCCAACCACTTTGTACAAGCACCCATCCTGGATTTGGGCGATCTGGAAATATTCGGCTGTGTGAGCTCATTCGATTCAGGTATACCACTGATGCGTTCGGACCAAAATGGGCACCAAATGGCCGTCTAGTGTTAAGATCACTTCAATCTGACTACGAAGCACTTCTGGCTGGTGTGAGTGATGTCCGACTACTCATATAATTTAATCAGTAGCATACGACGTCATGCGATATAAGATAGGTTTCATGGTCTTAGTTCGGTCATTGCTGATGAAGACGAGTCAGAGAGATGGAGAATGCGGTCAGTTACAAACCAGTGTGACACTATTCACTGCCTGCAACAACCAGTACGTATACTACAAACCCACCGAATGCGTAAGCCACTTTATTCGTCTTATTTTAAGTTATCCAATGAAAATCGCTGAGTTCAAATTCGCCTTGAATAGATAACCAGTACTGTGCAATTAATAATTCAGTGGAGACTTTTATTCAGAATACTGAAGTCATGTTCTAGTAAACGCACTATACCTCAAATCATAATTTCTGCCTTTACATGCTTTACGTATTTCGAATAAGGATCAACTTAAAAAGACAAATACTCCAATGTATGTTTCAATCGTACTGTTTGGCATAATGACATCACTATTATTGTTTTCGCTCTCACATTCAGGGATGAAATTACATTCACATGATATATTTTGATGCAACAAGAATGCATCAATAGCACTATCTACACACCTGTTTTATCATTCAAGTCTTCATAACTACATTTCTCCGAGAGTGGTATTGTGTTCTGTTTAAGCCATTCACGAAATATATCTCCAGGAGAGTGCTTCTTCAAAACCAGAACTCGTTTATGTTCAAAGGCCATTTGTAAGCACGCAGTTAGTTGATGAACAGAGCATCCGAATCCACATAAATTCGTAAAGTCGAATGTAATATATTTGGCAGTTTGGCAGTTTGTTGGATTCTGAAATCAAGCAAAGATACGAGATGGAAGGAAAAAGTGAAGGAGTGATCATCGCCTTGTGGCATGACACAGTGCTACAATAATATTACAAGTACACCTGGCTATTTTGAGGCTGTCTGTAAAAGGCCAAATTTGAAGAACCTATATCTATCTGTTATATGACAACGTAAATTCGTATTGAAATGGTGACAGTGGCAAGATTCGAAACACTGTCCTTCAGATCACTAATCTGGCATTCTATTGACTGCAACTCAAGATCCACCTGATAATCAGCCCATCGTTTCACTATAATCACCATCGTCATCATCGGGCCTGATACGCCAGATCCTGATTCTCACTCCAATTCATTCATCACCTATATGCGGATATCTGACGGAATCACTCACTCATCAGAGCTGTCTACTCTAACAGTAATTTCAAGAATCCTTTCATTTCAGAATTTCCAAACAGTAATAATAATATTAAAATCTTCGCATACCTGCAGTTGTCGAATCCGCCTCTGTACTGTTTCAGCGAGTTGGTTCAAACCGGTTATTCGAAATCTTGAAAAGCCATCTGTTTCACCCAATTCTTTCAGATGGGCTTCCATGTCTTCAATGATTTCGTGTAGTTGAATTTCATATCTTTCCAGTGATATTCTGATTGACGACACACTTGTATTACTTTCATGCAGATTACTGAATTCTTCGAGACTTTGAGCGATCTTGTGCAGTCCGACTGAGGTGTATTTCATTTCATGCAAGTAGTGTATGGCTCTACGTCGAAGGATCTCATGAGAGTAACCGATTGAAGATGTTACTATGAACGCAAAGTGAACAAGTACAGTTTTCAGTTATCAATCAGATTACCGTTGAAGGGAAAAGGTCGTAATAGTGTTGAAAGTTGACTATGCATCAGGTTGTTTTTATACTGCGCCAACTACTTAACTTTCAACTGAACACAATATTACATTTCTAATTTCAACTTCAGATTCCATGTTGCATTGAGTTTCACGATGTATATCCACTAAATGCGAAGAGGTGAGTTACAATGTGTAGCTGATGAGAATTGATAGTAGGACAAATAAAATGCATACATATAGTATTTCTGATCGCGTAGTAGTTTACTTATCAGCGATCTGAATTTTCCTGGTGCATTAGTCATTTGAGTTACCCGGAAAAATCAATCATTAAAATTCGAAATCGATCAAAATCTGCATAGTTAAATTAAGGAACTAACCTGGAAACAGTCTCGTATGCAATGTATTCGTATGGTTTTGGCTGATAAGAAAACAAGCGGTATAGAAATGAAAATACACAGTGTCATCTGATAGGGCAAATTTAGAAAACAAACCTATACATATGTATATGCTCTTAATCTTTTCCTCCGCTGGGAATCAAGAAAACATTTGAGCAGACACATTTGACACATTTTCTGATAAATTTGTTTATAAATCATTTTTATACGTAAGAGTGGGAATTGTGAATATGGGCACTTAATAAATTAACAACTGGATGCATTTATTGTTGTAAATGAAAAGGAATTACGGTTTGGTTATTTCGAACACGCATCGCTGAGATTACATGTTTACAATAAAATATAAGGAACCCTAGGCAATCAGACACCTGATCGACACCTTATTGAAAGCGAAATGCAAGGCAACTTAAGATTTCATTTACAAGTCTATTTTGAAATAGGATGCATTTCTGCTTTGATGCATAGAATATGAAATAAAATGATAGGGAAATATACGAGTGCACTGTGTCACACTGAAATTCTTCATATCTGTAGATCAGAAGTGATACCACAATAGCGTCTGTGGCACAGTGGTTAGGACTCTCGTCAACCATGCACATGGTCCGAGGTTCGATCCGCTGCCGACGCACACCTGATATCTATGATCGGCCTGCAAAATTTGGGCTACCGATATGCATCCTGAAAATTCCACACTTGTACCTAAAATACACTGTGGAATCAAGCTGTAATATAAAAAATTAAAAATAGGTCTGATAAAAGTCTGTTCTCTGATTTAGAATCGTTGATACAATACCATTAGTTACTTCAATTGACATCCATGCACAAAGCCGTATACCTCGCCAAGCGTGTGGAAAGAATGATGCAAAATACTCCACGTGTGGAAGGAAGTTGATTGTATACATACATAACACTTCGCATTTGGAAAGTATTTCTATTCACAAAGAAGACTATTATGGCAAATGTGATAAGTTTTCAAATTGTTCAACTTCACACTTTTCAATCCTTATCAATCACATAGGACGCCGTCATACTCATTCACATAGTCAATGGATAGTTGGCTACACAAGTGGAATCTCCACTGAAAGTACCTAAAATTCTGGCATGCTTTTAGATCCAACATCTAGTAAAATTTTAGTTGAATACATTGAGAAGTCCGAGAGTATATCATTGTGTCAGTATGTCTAACTGCATCGTATATAAATAAGCAGGGAATAAGTGTATGATGCGTCAGATTACTTTTCAAAAATAGAATCAGATCTATGGAGGCAAAAGCCAGAGAAAGTGTTAATTCGATTGGATGAAAACTGGTTATCGCATTATTGTTAATATTATTAATGCTCTTGTCACCACTATTGTTATTTGCACCATTTAGACAAGATTACGAGGAAAGATACTTACTTAGAGATGCTTACTTGTATGTGATGACACAATACGAAAGAAAGCTATGAGTATTCACCAACAACTAACACATCGTTTGACAGTGAAGATGCACTTGAAACAGACAACTAAACGCATTTCACCTAACACGTATATTATAGTTACATTCCCTAAGAAAGGACTACTTTTATGTAAAATACATATGGTGTGATACCAATAGATAATCATCGAGTAAGACAATCAAAATCAATCTCCATTCACATGCATCCCTTTTACCTCAGAGAGAAGCGGCGATTTCAGATGGATGCATAATGTTCGATTATATGTCGGATAGAGTGAAAGACGGAGATATACTTCAAGTAATCGCGTATATCAAAACTACTCAAGATTTGTCAGTCTGTACTTAGTGATGTTTTGTATAGGACTGACTCGTTTTACCAGATAAGCATATTTTTAATAGGCGAGAGTCATTGTTTTACTGAGAAGACGGTTGTGACCTCGTTGTACAATGAAGTTAGCAGAAGTCGGAATTCCTTCAGCTTACACATCCTTCTCCTGGCATGCCACAGTCAAGCCAGTCTTATCCCGATATGACACTTTTGGATGAGCTTAAATTGTTCTTTCGATTTCTCACAATAAATTATTACTGAATATTCGCATTTTAACGATCATCACAACGAGTTAAAATATAAAAGTGAATGTGCAGCTTTAGAAATGTCGTCTGTAGAGAATAGTTTTCAAATAAGGAGCTTCTTCTAATATCCAACTCAACTATCTATAGTAACTTATGTGAGCACGTTGATACTGTAAGGCGATAAGGTGAAATGTGGAAAAAGTCCACAACAGGCTGACATTGATTCCTTTTTGGATGGATTAGTGAAGTAAATGAATGCAGATGAACACCAGGCGACTAAGTGTGATTCTCATTCACATTTTCACCGATACCAGTTATATAGTGGGGCTTTGAAATGTATCAGTTATAAGTCGGAAATATTTTATTACAGAGAATATTAAAATTAAAATTTGAAGTCACTTGCCGCACTTAGATTCACCTGTAGTTGTTGACCATATCATGAAGACGCATCATTTGAGCGGAAATCCAATCTATCTTCCAACTTGTATCTCTCGCTTCTCGGATTACAGCTTCCCAGCATGTAGTTTCTCTGGACTTTGATATCTTGCTGAAGAAGTCTTGAACACAGAAATGAAGAAGAGGCAGCAGTGGTATCCATGTAACGGCGATCAAAATGAGCTTTACTTTTGTGCATCCTTAATTGACAATAATCGCTTTGAAAGAAGAATATAATCACTCACTGTACCGCCACATCAAGCGCATTAGTTGAGTAGGTTTTGACGCTTATGTTGTTCTGTATACCTGAATGAATTAGCAGTCGTACGGAATAGAACTTTTACTCAAAACATTCTTCAGTACAATTCATCTATTTGATTGGCTCAAGGTGAATTCAAATGGACCAACCAAACTCATGTATAGTCATGATCAAATTATCACAATGGTAACTATGAAGATGAATTGGCTGATTTTGAACCTTAACTGCACGATAATAGTGATAACAATAATACCTTCACACCCGAAATTTCAGGGGGAAGACATAAATTATGAGAAGTGAAGTGAAATTTAGTGAAATGCTTCTTTCGTTTGTCCCAAGTCTTATTGGTGATGATTATATTGAGTAAATTTGAATCCTAAGCCCGGTTGGAAATCTCAATCAAAATAATGAAATATCGCCAAAATCTATATCTCTCATGAGAAGTTAGTCATCAGATGTACAATGAAGACTCAATATATAGGTCAGTTGGTGACGATGATAACACACAATAACGTGGGGTCAAAAAACCCTGTGCGCAAGAACCAGGCAAGACAAAACACGTCTAGTTTGACTTAGGTCAAAGTGCTGAGCCACCCAAATTCTAGCCTGCCACCTGATTGAAGTGGCAGTACGTTGAATCGAGTTCGTAGTTAGTTGAATAAATTCACGACTTGCAGGGAACGCAGTCCAAGATGAAATGTAACCATTTCTTCCACTGCAAACAAGAACAACTCAGATCACACAATTTTGCTCAGAACTAGAGAATTGTGGAGAATACCTCTTTCACAGCAAAGAAATCTTCCATCAGATATGTTTTAAGTATATTATATTTCACAACAAAGATCAACTGAAGTCTACCTGATCTTCCGCATATATCAGTTATGCTAGGAGCAAACGTTTCATATTTCCTGAATCAGGAGGACAAATGTTCAGTAATAAGAAGACACTGTGATTCCCCTCTACTTGCTGAATATCAAAGACAATAACAACGGAAATTAGGAAGGCATCATTTGGTTGATATGTGTCACTATTTCTACTCAGGAGTGAAAAATCATAGATAAGAGATGAGGAAAGGATAGACACAAATGAAGAAGAGAACAGTATCATGCAAAATAATGCTTGTTTTTGGAATTGGAATACTAGGACACCCCTAGAGTAATAGCAGATTATTTTTGGGTGCATTAAAAATGTCGAGGTGTTTGTATGAATAGGGTTCCAACGAATTTAATCATGTGACCAACATCCAATTTACAGGCACTTTTAAAATCAACTAGTTATCAATTTCCGAGGTTAATTGAGCTAGATGATTTCACCAGTTCTTCCCATCTGCCAGAGATGCACTCTGTAGCCTCAGCTTGCAGAGATCGATGGAACCTCTCTATATACACAAATACATAAATTGATGAATGCTTTGGGAATGGATGTGAAAGTAGCTTCCAAATTCTGTGAGCGTTTACACGACGACATAAATTTCGTTATCTTCATAAAAAGAGCCGTACTGCATATTAAGTTCTACAGAATGCTGCTCTCATTCTTCATTTATTGATAAGATGTGGAGATCACCCTTGAATGAGACAGTTTAATATACATCGATTTGGTGGCTTCTTATAACTAATGGATTTTTGAGGATTATTATTGTCTGAAAATATTTCGCTGTGGCTTTGAATTTCCTCTTCATTGGTATCTCTGGAACAGAATATACAAAATCTATTGTGCATTTCCGATAAGTAACTTATTCTTTTTCATTTGTCGAGATTCGTGGAGACGACTTATAAACTCAAGTAAATTCCCCTGACACTTCATTGATATAAACCTCAATTTGTAATTAAATGGACATGTACGTAGAAAAACGGTGAGCAACTTTGTGAAATATACCTGAAATTATCGTTGATCAGGTTTAAAATGTGATTATTTTCACATTTTGGATTTT